CAAAAAAAAATTATGTTACATTACCATGTACATTGCATTATATGCAATTTTAGTGTAAAATGCTATAAAAATTGTGGTTTCTGAAAGTAAAAACTATGGATTACCATATAATTTATGGTGAAAGAAAACCGCAGTTGTTTTTTCTTTAATTTTTTTTTAAGTAGGCTAGTCGCTTTTTTATTTTATTATAATTTTTTTTTTTTTTTTTTTTTTTTTTTTTTTTTTGGCGTGTACCAATGAATCATGTAAAATATGACATATATTACAAAAAAATAGGTTCTTTGAGAAATTTAGGCAACCTGGTCTCATAAAAATACGTACCTCTGTGTACTTTTTGTGCAACACCGTTTTTACGTACCTTACTGCACGTTTCGCCGCAGTTTCAAAGAGAAATGTCCACTGAGTGGCGCTAAAACACGGGTTCAATATGTGAAACCTGGTACGTTTTTATTACGTTGATAAGTACGTATTGCGGCGGTTCAGAATTCAAATATCTGTGGACTGTCGCTAAAAGTTAATGCTCTATCGTGTTGGAAATATGCCCTACACCTAGGGCTGGGTATTGAGTTCGATACTTTTTAGGCACAGACCGAATTGCCGCAATACCATAGAGTATCGAAAAACTTCTCGTCGTTCGGTACCAAATTTCGATACCTAAGGGGTAATCTCAACGTCAGTGAGCAAATAAGCTTGCAGCACTAGTGTTCGACCAGAAGTGGCGCGGCGCAGATCGATCAGTATTTTGACATCCGCAAGAGCGATTCGAACGCGTACGGAGCAGTCTGCTCTCTATAGCTCTTGTGGTACTGTAATACACCGATCAGTCTACACAGTCGGTCCGCGTCAAGTCGAACACACCTACTACTGTAGTAAACACCGGTTTAGAGATGTGGCTCACACGTGAGGCTGTAGTGTGAATGCGTCCCAGCCCCCTTAGATGTAAGGCTATATTTACACTAGTATGTTTTTGTTTTAAAATGAAAACGATCCTCGTCATACCGGCGTTTCAGCTGGCTTTCCACTATCTCCGACAAACGACAGACCGGAAGTCATTCATTTCCAATGGAGAGTAGTGCGGGAGCTGCGTGGAGCGCCGATCATATGCTGAAGTCCGTTCATACTACACGACCGAAAGCGCGTGTTACGTGACCATTCATGCACACATGCTACATAAGACAATAAATATGATTTATATTCCGCTATTACTCATAAAATGAGTAATATTGTAATATTGTTGTGTTGCGTCCATTTCTTTCTTTCCCTCTTCTTTCATATTCACCTGATCCGGGAGCGGCAGTGGTCTCCGTCGCAGCTGCGCTCGTGCTCGTCGCCTCGGCTTCACTTCCAGTCAAGTAGCTCCAGGGTTTCCATAACGAGCTGACGATGTTGGTGAGGGGACTCTTGGCCTTTCCTTGAGGAGCGTCTGAAGGAGCTACAGGACTCACAGACTGACCAGACAGACCTTCATCCTCGGGTACCAAATTTCGATACCTAAGGGGTAATCTCAACGTCAGTGAGCAAATAAGCTTGCAGCACTAGTGTTCGACCAGAAGTGGCGCGGCGCAGATCGATCAGTATTTTGACATCCGCAAGAGCGATTCTAACGCGTACGGAGCAGTCTGCTCTCTATAGCTCTTGTGGTCCTGTAATCCACCGATCGGTCTGCACAGTCGGTCCGCGTCAAGTCGAACACACCTACTAGTTTACACCGGTTACACTCAGAGATGTGGCACACACGTGAGGCTGTAGTGTGAATGCGTCCCAGCCCCCTTAGATTTACACTGGTGCGTTTATGTTTTAAAATGAAAACGATCCTCGTCATACTGGCGTTTCCACTGTGTTTCAAGCCGGCTTTCCACTATCTCCGACAAACGCCAAGCGACAGACCGGTCATTCAGTCATTCATTTCCAATGGAGAGTAGCGCGGGAGCTGCATGGAGCTCCGATCATATGAGCCCCCTTAGATGTAAGGCTATATTTACACTAGTATGTTTTTGTTTTAAAATGAAAACGATCCTCGTCATACCGGCGTTTCAGCTGGCTTTCCACTATCTCCGACAAACGACAGACCGGAAGTCATTCATTTCCAATGGAGAGTAGTGCGGGACTCGGGAGCTGCGTGGAGCTCCGATCATATGCAGAAGTCCATTCATACTACAAGTCTGAAAGCGCGTGTTACGTGACCATTCATGCACACATCATTCTACATAAGACGATAAATAAGATTTATATTCCGCTTTTACTCAAAACTCACTTTAAACCACCATCGAGTGTTTTAATAAGTTCTGATCGCCGTCTAATGTGTGTTTTGGCCATGTAATGTTGCTGAAATATGACACAGAACAGCGATCGTGGAAGAGAGAACACAGACAGACAGTTCTGGAAGCTGCTAATGCTCATCAGTAAATCAGTGGAAAATTAATAGAAATGATGAGTCTGTCTGAGCTATGCGTTTTAAAACGAACACGCACTAGTGTAAATGTAGCCTATAACAGATGTGTAAACTGAGCTTTATTAAAACGATTTGCACTGATTTGTGTTGGTTACATTTTAATCCTTTGTGCAGTGGCTCAGGAGATGAGTCTTTGAGCCTGTATAAACATCAACAAGCTGAAAAATGAAACCAATATATTTTTTTTTTTTTTAGATAATGTGATTTTGTTAAAATTGATATCATAAAATTGCTATCGAAAAAAGTATCGTTCAGGAACCGGTATCGAATTCAAGGTATCGGTATCGATATCGAAAAAATTTTAACGATACCCAGCCCTACCTACACCAAACCCAACCCTAAACCTACCCGATAGTGTTAACAAATGCAAAACTGATATAAAAACACATTATAGATATGAAGCTGGATATGTGCGGTGCTAACGTTCAAAAGCATCAGTTTTCAAATCTCCCAGCATATTAATATTTTTTGGAAGTCATAACATGATATCCTTCAAGTAATTGTGCGAAAATTACGCTTTATTAATCGAGACTCTGTAAATTTGTGTAAAAAGGAATAAAAGGTGTCAGAGTTTTACTGCCTCTAATGTTCATTTATTTTGGAAACTGCAGTAATATGCATTTATTGGTACGTATTTCACATCTCGCTAAAAAGTGCCCCAGGTACGTTTATGCCATGAGACCAGGTAGTATTTAGGCCTTATTTTTTATTATGCTGAATGTTTAAAAACTGATTTTGTTTTTACACCAGTATCTTTAGAGCTAGTCCATCGTTCTCTTTATTTTGACAGACAGCCAGGTGACTGGTTTTAACATTAATATGTCCCCCATGCTGAGAGGAGATTCTATTTGTGTTCGGCTAAGAGAGAGCAGACGCTTTTTAAAAGTCAGGCTGCAGCCTTCAGTCCTTCACTGTCTCCTCAGGATGAACCGAAAAAACATAAGCAAGTGTGAAAAAGAACTAAAGAAAAGTGTGCTCCTCACAGCTGTCAATTTATCATTCTCTCTCCCTCAAAAATTGACTTTCACTTTTACAGCATCTCATCCTGGTCCTGCCTTACTTCATTCTATCGCTCGACCCCGTCATCCTTCCTTTTTCCTCTTCGCTATTATTTAAATTCTCAGTTCTCTCACTTTTTCTGATACCTCTCTCCAAGTGCTGGACAGGTGTCAGGCCATTCACACTCTGCACAAAAAGGGTCCTACTGCACACTCACACTCAACTGCAAAGGTTACGGTAAAGTGCAAATAAAATACCAATCCTGCATTATTCAAAGGACACCTTAGCACTGATAGAAAAGGAGAAAAGAGAAACAAATCTATAGTCTTAGCCTTGTTAACTGGGAACACTGTCTTGCTCAGAACTCCAAAAGAGCTGTGGGACACTGTCACACTGATACAAAAGACAAAACTACTAACCAACACTGGAGTACTATACAATTCACCTCAACTTTTGAATGGTTGTGTCTTACAAACAAGTCAACTGCCTAGCTAGACAGCATGAACGGCATTATTAAAGTGTTCGCATGCAATCAACAGAAACAGGAACACATGCATTCAAAATCTGGTTCTCAAAAGTGTTTTTTAATAATAATAATAATAATAATAATTCCTTATGGGTTACAAGTATAGCTAACTGATTTGTTCACCTCACCAGCCTCACGACAGCCACAGAAACAGACATCTTTAGGTCGCAAATAGCTGTCCTGCTGACAATTATGATGGTGATGGTTTACTCTACAGCTGCAATAGAGCATACATTAAACCTCATTACACACAACACTGGCAGCTTTAAACCTGTTTGTTAGACATATAGCTAATATTAGTGTACTTGTACAAGATATATTCTATAGGTCTTTCAACATGCTTGCACTGCAAGAATGGATTGTCTTGGATTAAACTGTGCTAACACCGGATAAATACAGACTGACTCTAGAATGGAACCAATGCACTATTATGAAATCATTTCTAGCCCAACAGCTTGAGAACAGCTCATCAGCTGAATCTGTGTATAGGACAACATTACTACCACCTCAAAGAATTGCTGACAGGTACTTTACGCTCCACTTCAACATTCACTGACACTTCAGGTCTGCCTTGCTGAGGAGCATTTAAGTTGAACATTCTGAAGCATGAATTCTCTAAACAGACTGAACATTTGAAATGTTCTCCTTAAAAGGTTTGATCTAGAGTAGACCATCATTGTGGGGAAGTCGTGGCCTAATGGTTAGAGAGTCGGACTCGTAACCCAAAGGTTGCGGGTTCGAGTCTTGTACCGGCAGGGATTGTAGGTGGGGGGAGTGAATGTACAGTGCTCTCTCCCACCTTCAATACCATGACTGAGGTGCCCTTGAGCAAGGCACCGAACCCCCAACTGCTCCCCGGGCGCCGCAGCATAAATGGCTGCCCACTGCTCCGGGTGTGTGTGTTCACTGCTGTGTGTGTGTGTGCACTTTGGATGGGTTAAATGCAGAGCACTAATTCCAAGTATGGGTCACCATACTTGGCCACATGTCACTTCACTTCACTTCTTCACTTCATCATCTTACCTCATACTGCTCAGCCTTGATCAGCAGTTTGGCTGTTGTTATTCTGGATTCATAAGGCGGGATGTTGCTCTAAAACAAAGAACAATACAGTAAATATTAAAGGTAAACTACTCAAGGATGATAAAAGTCTTGATGTGATTTGAGAAGGAAAATTATGAAAACATAATTTTTCATAATTTTTGCAATTCATAATTATAGAAAAAAGGCCTCTTTAACAGCTAATTTACAAAAATTAATTAGAAAATTAATATACTGTTAAAAATTTTTAAACCATTATATACTGTATATTATAACCAAAATATATTTTTTTTACTGTTTTTGACAAAAGACTCTTATGCTCTCCAAGGCTGCATTTATTTGTTCGAAAATACAGTGAAATATAAAAATAATGATAAAAACATTCATATAATTTAAAATAAATATTTTCCTATTTGAATATATTTTAAAATGTAATTTATTCCTCTTTTTTTTTTTCAAGGAACAATAACACACAATAAAACAACATTAAAATAAGAAAAGAAAAAGATAGAAGGACAAATTACAACAAACAAAAAACAATTGCCAGGGGGAGGAAAGTATAAAACTTCAAAACAAAAATACAAGATATACATACATACATACACTTGTACGTATATATAAAATCAAATAAATATATTGTAAAGTTCACAAACTTTCAAAGTTCTTACAGCTTTCTTATTCACAGAGTCTCTGATAATTTATTCCTCTATTGGCAAAGCTGATTTTTAAGCAGGCATTACTCTAGTCTTCTGTGTCACATGACCCTTCAGAATTCATTACAATATGCTGATGCTCAAGAAACATTTCTCATTATTACTGAAAACAGTTTTGTTGCTTAATATTTAATTAATTAGCATTTATTTAATATATCAATCTTTTGTTTGTACCCATGTAAAAGTCTTTACTGACACTTTTGATTTATTTAATGTGTCCTTGCTGAACAAAAGTATTCATTTCTGTTCTTTTAGTGTACATTGTACACATCTACTGGAGCATGAATAAAATTATGAAACTGACAAATAGTTTGTATGTTCAGTTACATAACAAAGACCTTCACTTTTTAAACCTCAAACAAAGCATTTTGAGCAGAAGAATTAAAGTTGACGTCAAAGCTATTGTCAGTAGTAATCGATGGCATGCATTCGATAAACCTTCTCATTTTTTATTCACAACATTGCTTGAATTTCTTCATGACATTACTGCAAATAATACCATTTGTTTGAGAACTACTTGAGGACAGAAGAAGCCAAATATTGTATTTTCTACTAGCAGAAAAAGGAAAAAAACATCTTTAGATGTGCATCTGACTAATTAGCCATTAAATAAATAAAAGTTCTGGTTGTGACTGATTTTTTTCAAGGTCTCAATGGACATTTCAATAATCCATCTTTACAAACACTATTTTCTATTTCAATATATCATCACACCATCAAGGCCACTTAATCTCTTGCAATAAATGTAGCCTGTCTGTGATGTTATCAAGCTCATTTTTGTATTGTATATACTAACAAAATCTCTAGTCTCTATACGGAATAAATGGTTTTTAAATCAGCTTTGTAAAAAGAGTTGATAAGAGTGCTGAGCCCGATTACATCACACTTCAAACAGGCATATACTCTCCTACCTGCCAAGACGTCGCAAAGCTGCATCTACATATGACAAATTTATGTCTAGTGCCAAGCAAGTTCCCTGAAATGTTAACCAGCAGGAAAGTAAACAACTTTCATAAATTCCCTCAACAAGTCAGTTCAGGTGAAGCTTGTTTTTCTGTGGTATCTTCAGCCGCGTAGAGTCCTACTTAACAGACAAACTGCGCAAATTCATTTAGGCACACGGAAATGAAAGTATGTCTTTTAAAAAAGCATGAAGCGTGTAGCCTTAAGCAAAAAACAATGTTTTTAAGAGTCGCAAGACTGTCTGCGGCAAATCGTGGTCACTTGATGAGGGATCTGTGCGTGTGGCCCCAGAGCCAGCCTTGCAGCAGTCTGCCACAGCCTTGGCCTGGCATTGAGAAAAATGAAAAGGTAAAATAAGCTAGTTTGCTTCCTTTCTTCCCTTATCTTTCCCAGACTAAAAACTTTTTAAGCACAGTACTATTTCCTTCCATGCCATCAGAAAGAAGTCAAAGGAGAGGTCACGATGCATCGTATCTTTATTTCTCCGTTGCCTTTGGAACACAAACACCTGTGCACACACCTTATTCTGATCTTTTTCTTCCTCCATGTCATGCTCTGTGCTCGCCAATGACTCTTCCTCTTTCTGTAGGCTAGGTAACCATGACGACACACTCTTCTTCAGGTACTCACGCCCCTCCTGCATAAAAACATGATAAAATAAAGTTGAAAGCCTCTCCTCTAGGTATGATGATTGTAAAAATACAGGTACATGCCTCTTTCAGGAAAAGGTATAGGATGAGAGGAATTAGGAAGTAGAATAGAATGACAAGTAGTAGGATAGGACAACAGGAAGCTCTATAAGAAGATGGGTAGTGGTACAGGATGAGAGGAAGTGAGAGAAGGATAATCGGTAGTGGCATGAGATGAAAGGAAGCAGGATAGGATGAGAGGAAGTAGTAAAGGATAAGAGGAAGTAGAATATGTTGAGAGGAAGTAGGTGAGAAAAAATAAGTTAGGATAAGAGGGCGTGATACAGGGTTTAGATAAAGTAGTACTGTATATGAAGAAGAAAAGAGGTAGGAAATTGCACGGACAATAAAAAGTGGTAAAGGATGAGAGGAGGTGACAAAGTAAAACAACAGGTAGTGGTATGAGGAAGTAGAATACATTGACAGGAAGCAGAATAGGATGAAAGGAAGTAGGTCAGGGTGAGAGAAAATGAGATGAGGAAGTGATAAAGGATGAGAGGAAGCGGTACTGTATATAATGCAAAGAAGTACTGTAGAAAATAGCATGAGCAATAAGAAGTGGTAGACTGAGAGGAAGTAGCAAAGCATGAAAGGAAATGAAAAAGTAGGATAACAGGTAGTAGTGGTACACGAGGAAAGAAAGTAGGATTTTGGAAGTAATATAAGACAAGAGGAAGTGGTATAAAATGCAAGGAAGTAGTAAAGCATAAGAAAAAAAGACACAGGAATTAGCATGAATAAGATGGAGCAGGATAAGAGAAATTGGTAAAGGACAAGAGGGAACAATATAGGATGATAGGAAGTAAGATGGGATGAGAGAAAAGTGTCTAGGAACAGAGGAAATAGGATAGCATATGACCAGTTAGGAAGTAGAATAGGATTACAAAAAGCAGAATAGGACAACAAGACGCTCTATAAGATGATAGGAAGTGGTGTAGGATGAAACACGTGACAGAAAGTAGGATAACAGATGGTGGTATGAGATGAAGAAGTGAAGGATAATAGGATAATGAGAGGAAGTGAATATGAATAGGATGAGAGAGAGGAAGTGGTACTGAATGAGAGGAAGTAGTAAAGCATAGCAAATAGCATGAATAGGAAGATAGACAGGATAAGAGCACGTGGTAAAGGACAAGAGGGAGAAGCATAGGATGAGAGGCAGTGACAGGATGAGATGAAAAAGTACAAGCCTGAAAAAGGGTTGAGGTTAGAGGACACAAAGAAACTCAAGTTAATGACTGTTGAGTTAAGTTTCGCTGTCAGCTCTCTGAAGGGAAATGGAAGTGTCTTCTGAAGTGAAAATACCCACAAATGTTACAAGAGCTTTAAGCTGCAGACTGAAGCTCAACTCAGAGGGTCGCTCAAGTTCAGCAGACGTGCTGGTCTTATATCTGTTTGCCCCCTAGTGGTTCAGTGAGGGACTGCATCAACGCAGGTGTGTTTGCACTAGTAGTAAATCTGTCCCACATCGAGTCATATTCAATAAGCTTGTTCTATTAATGGCTTGTAATTCATTAGCTGTGACCTAACTCTCTCATCTGCCATCTTTATCTATCCCTCATGCAAAAACAAGCATACATGCCCAAAACCTGTCTTTCTTACTCACTCGTTCTCTCACACAATTTCTATCTGTGTCTCCTTCTCAGAAATACATGACTCAGCTCTCTCAGCTTCTCCACCTACACTAATTATGACTGCATAATGACCCACTGCTCAGAACGCTGCAGTGAACAAGTGAGACAGTGAGGGAATTCTGGGTAATTCACTCCGCAGTTGTCCTGTCCTACCTCAGTTTTCTCTATGCTGAACAGGTAGCTGGCCATGAGCTGGAGAGCTTCAGGGTTGTGCTCATCGTACTGTAAAGCTTTGTCGATGGCCTCTTTGCAGCGGTCAGCAGCGCCCTCCTCCATGCTGTCAAACAATAAAACAGTTATAAAGCTATTTAAAGCCCATAAAAATCAGTCAGTTATTAAACTCATTGACACCAACCATGTTTAGGTACATCTTTTTCTGTACAAAACTGTGTGCAAATTTTTTTCCAGAACAGGATAACAGCTAATGATATGCGGTAAGAAATATAGGATGAGAAGAAGCAATATAGGATAAAAGGAAGAAGGGTAGAATGAGAGGAAGTCATGCATGTTAAGAACATGTAGGATAAGATAAGAGAAAGCAAGGATGAATGAGAGGGAAAAGGAAGCAGTATATAACAGGAGGAAGCAGGATGAGATAAGGAAATTGTAAGTATATATGATAAAAGGATGATAATCCAGCCAAGAATAGAGGAGGTACAAAAAATAATAGTACCAGAGAAAGTGGTATAGTAAGGTAGGACAAGGTAAAGTGGTAAAGGTTGTGAGGAAGGTATGTGTATTTGTGCAGCCCCCAAAAAACTAATTAAAAGGTCATTTGAAATCTTTACCAATCTTAGATTTTACCCATTTGTCAGCAAGAAGTTTTTAATAATTTAAAAATGTTTTAAATAATTAAAAAAGTTACTATGACCACTTTTTCTTGTATATATTTTAGTAAGTACAGGTCAGTATATATATATTATACTTGGTGGTATTAATTATTGGTGGGTTTTTGTTAAATGTGAGCCAAAATCATCACAATTAAAAGAACCAAAGACTTAAACTACTTCAGTCTGTGTGCACTGAATTTATTTCACATATTTCAAAGTAACATACATTGTGTAGCTTTGTCAAGGTACAATGTCTACACCCAAAAAAAAATTACAGGTTTGACCAATAATTGAACTAAACAAGAGTTTCCACAGCACCCAGGGGCATCAACACTAGTGAAGAAAATGTTATTTGTTAGCACACACACTCTTTTCTGCTTTTGATTTTCCAGTTATCGCCTCCAGCAAACATAACAACAACCCCGATACACACATACAACCATACAGTACATCAAGAGGATAGGCACAGAGATGAACTGTACTTTGCTAGAGGCTACTGCTGTACCTTCATAATGTACACCGATGTGTGAAATGGTATGGTGCTTACTTATTGTCAATAAACCTGACCTTTCCCTCATGCTTTGAATTTCAATCTCAGGGTTTGAATGAAGTCATGTCGTGCCAAGATCCTCGACAATCAACACTGAGCTCATCTCCAATCCAAATCTCTTTTTCATCTCTCTCCTACCATTAGTCCAATCCTGAATTCCCAACCCTCTCCCTCTTTCTATCCCTCTATCAACCAGTCTGTGATTAGATCTTTTCTGCAGGCCTCAGAGCAAATGGGCTCCAGTCTTCAGCATCCCAGGTGTGCATGCGTGTGTGCGTCTGTCATATCATCTCATCAGGTACAGAAAGCCAAAAAGGTGGAGAAATGAAAAGAGTAAGAAAGGCCAGAGCAAACAAAGATGGGCAGAAGCTGAACAAGAGTCAGCATATATCTGTGTAAAAAAAAGAAAGATATTTACCAGAGATCTGTGAAGAAGATCTCAGCGATGGAGCAGAAGGCCACAGACACGTTCATTTTTGTGACAGCACACTCGGATGGAAATGCAGCCGCTCCAAACGCACTAGCCTATCAGGGCACAGAACCACACATGACAATGAGTTATACCGGTAAATAAAAAAGTTATAATAATAATAATAATAATAATTCACCAAGTCATTGTTGACTCACCTTATGTTATTGTAAACCTGTCTAATGTTATTTTTTAACAAAAACAAACTATTCATCCTAGTGACCACTGGCTCTCAAACTCCTATAAGAACAAAAATCACCATAGAATCATGCACTATATTCCAACATGATAGCTGTGAGTGATAAACAGACCAAATTTAAGTCATTATTCACTGCTCGACTGAGACTCAAAATAAAAATGCCACCTGTTCATCACACTGCTATCCTATGGCTTTATATATATACCACAAAAGATTTATAATATTTTATGAATTATAATATTTAATATTTATAATCATATATAATATAATCTATACTATTTTTTAAATCTTATAATATTATTATTTTTTTATTTTTAATTAATTTATAATAATAATATTTTTTTAACACACATGCAAGATTTTTAGTAGATATTCAGTTAGTTATTATGATACACGCAAATTGTCAGCAGTGATTCTCCAGGATCCTCAGGGTTGCAAAATTACTTAATTTTTTTTAAAGTATTATTTAAATGAAAATGTTGTTATTAACAATCTTAATGGTATTATTAATATATTAATCTAAATTAATTAAAATGATTAAAAAAACATGCAAAAACATACTGAAAACATATTTATTTTATATATATTTCCCTCCCATCAAGTTTTTGTTTTCTTTTGCTTTTGCTTTTTTTTGTACACAGTTCTTGACATTTTTAGAATCCCAAAATAAATCGTGTTTAATTCATATGTAAACATTCCTAGTTTCTGTTAATAAAAAAAGAAAACAATGAAAATGAAATGTTAAAAAAAGCTAAAAATGAAAATTAGCCGGCCTTTGAATACTGTGTTGGACAATGGTAGCCCTTCAAGACAAAAAGGTTGAGAAGTTGAGAACCACTGCACAACAGGTTTCATTATCTGCTTATGTTTTGTTGCCCTCTAGTGCTGAAAGATTGAACTGCACACTTAACACTAAATAAATCCTGGTTCCTCTGTTCAAACTAATTACAACTATCCCTCAAGACAAGTCATTTAGACCACTAAGGATGTGCATCTTAGGCTTCCCCAATGCTCAGAGCATTATTCACAGCATCTGAATCCAATACACAGTAATGTATGCAAGGCTTGTGTGATCATTGCAATTGATTACAGTTTGCTTTGATGTAAAACAATGTCTGTGACCAGCTGGTTTTCAATAGCTCTCCACCTACAGGAACAAGACACATCTGTCCTTCTGTCTTTTCCATTCACCAGTCCTGTGTAGACAGACGCAACTGGCACACACAGGCATACTATGAGACCAGCTCAGCATAACTAAATGCCTCCTGCTATTATGTCAGTGCTAATTCTGTGCCTTCCAGAAAGCATAACTCTGATTCAGCAGCTAACTTAGTAATCAATCCAAAGAAAGTGCTGTCCACTGGGAAAATGCACCACAATCCATTATTCATTAGCCAAAGCTCTGAGGGTTCTAAACAAAATGAAAATTGCTTTGTATCTCTAGGGAGTAAAATTCTGTTTACATCTGGTCTCAGCTAGTTTCTCTCATTTTCAGGGTTCTGTGGAACTTTAAAATAAATACATCACATATCACATGTTCTTTTACTGTGTTAACCTGCTACAACTGTACATATACTGTGTTTTGTTAAAAATACTATGTGGTTTATTCTGGCTATAACTTACTGACTCATCTTAGTTAGTGATGGGTAAATGAAGCCTCATGAAGCACTGAGGCTTTCCTCTGACTGTTTCGGGAAAAGATTCAAAGCGTCGCGAGTGTCAAAAACAGCGCCATCTGGTGGCTAATCAAAAATAAAGCCGCCAAAAGCCTGTGAAAGACGCTCCGTCGGACGAAGCAGCGACCACAAATTCCATAGATCGACTCGTGTTACGTGCACAAATAAAAGCCTAACAGTGTGTGTATGTTTGTTTGTTTGTTGAATTTCCCTCTCTCTGATAAAATAATTTACCCATTAAACTGTGGCATTAAATGCCAATATGAATATCAATATGATGTAATAGAAGAATAATGTACACATATGATTTGCATATGCCAAATATACATTTTTTAATGAAATAATTTGTATTCTTCATATTACTTGTATGACTGGATATTTAAAAATTTTATTGAATAAGTCTGAATGAAAACTTACTCGTAAATTAAGATCTGGGGTTTGTTTCGAACATTCCGACACGCGCACGTGATTGGACAGATAGTGAGGCTTCATTTTCTGCGGATCACGTGATTCTCTGAAAACAACACATGCTCCTTTTCTCTTGTTTGGTGGGTGTGTCAAAAATGTCAGCCCAATCAGCAGCAGCATGTATATAAACCACGTGGTATTAAAGAGGCAGCTGGCACAATGTAATTAACATCAAAATAAATTCACAAGAGCAAGTATATTGTTTGCACATGTTTATTTAGTTTATTTACAAAATAACTGAAATAATAAGCACACATGTATAGATCTGGAACTTCTTTAAGTCTGTCTAATCTGTCTAAAGTAATTGCAATGTCTTCTGGTCCATATCCTTTCCTTAGGAAGGTGTGCTAAATA